TGTGCCATCAAGACATTTTTTAAAAATAATTGTTTATTCCACTGCAGATATTGCATAAATCGGATTGGTCAGATTTTCCTAGGTGTAGCCATTTATTGAGTCACTATTTAATTTATAAATGTTTCAGGTTAGGACATGTACATAATTTCATTCATTTTTTAAAACTTTTATCACGTGTGGTCAAACAAGATTGTAGACATTTTTATTTTTTATTTGCCTAGTATTATGTAGGTATATGTATTTAATTGTGTTTGAAAAAAAAAGCACTTTGTAAAATTTTGTGTAACCAGTTTTTTTAATTTCATGTTACTGTAAAATCAAAATTAGTGGCAGCACATTATGTTACAAAACTTTGTGTTATACAACTTTTTAAGTCATGTTTTTTTTTAAATTTTACAATAAAATATGACCTAAAAACAAATGCCTTTCTAAATAGCAAAATGCTGAAAAAATATAGATCTTTGGTTATATCCCATTTAATCATCTTGAACTGATCGTAAGATGTAATTCTAACAATGGCCACTGTGTATGTAGTGTTCAACAACGGAATCACTAAATCATCCTACTCCACTGGACTAGGACATCTAAAGTAGCCCCCATCAATTGGAAATGATCAGTGAAGTTTTGTACTTGGAAGAATTCAAAAGCTTTTCTTAAATGTTGCAGGCTCCCCCAGATTCTGCAATTTTATAAAAAAATTTGGTGCTCTTGTTAACATCTGCAAGTTGGGTTTTTGTCCCCCTCTCCTCCCACCAATCTTAATAGTCCAGTGGAGTTCAATATATGCACCCCTCAAACTTCAGGGATTGGTTGTAACCATAGGTGTCAACATGTTTTTTCTTTCTATCTGTGCCTAGCTAGTGTAGAATCTTGGAAAGTCTGACAATAAAATGCTCAGCACAGTTTTTAGTTAGTCAGCCGAAATTTTATGGTACTGATTTATTTTTAAAGAGAATTGATTTGTAATTTTTAAATGCTTAGCCGTAGCATTAAAATTTGCTACAATCTTGACACAGCTTAACTTAAAAAAAATGTGAGTTGTTATCTAAACCTTTAATTTTAATATAAACCTTTTAACAAATTTAAATAAAGTATCACCATATTTTCTTTAATTATTTACTAGATCTACTGGGTTTTTTTCGGAAGTTGTAAAAATAGTTTTCTTTTTTGGAAATTATTTTCAATACTCAATTTTCCTATCAATCTGAATGTGTGCACAGATTTGTAAAATAGCTTTGAATTTTCAATCCGTTTTTTGCTCCCATGGATGCCTGTTATCACGTTGAATGTGTCTGAAGTTTCTCATTATTTGTGTTTATCAATAAATTTGATGTTAGATATTTTTGTCCACTACCATGTGACCATGTAACATTTTGCCTGTTTACATGTAGAATTCAATTCACATAAAAAACAAAGAGAAAGGCTCCATTTTTCTCTAGCCAGTGTATGCTGTCGGTGGTTGTTTTTTTTTTTTCCATGTAAAATCAGTTGTTGATTTTCTTTAATGTCAAAAGTCATAATGTCAAATGTGACTTTTATGATCAAATTTCCTTAGAAGATTATTAAATAAATGTTTGTTAATTTAAATTGTAGCTATTGTTCAGTTCTCTAGATGTTGCCAATTTGTCTTGTACTGATTTTAAACAAATAAAATTTTTGAAAAATCTGCCATGATTCCTTTTTAAAGAAAACAATTTATTTATGTTGTTAAATTAATTTGGAGTAAATTTATTGTCACATAGTAGAATAATGCATTGAAACACAACATAATAAACCAAAATTCTTTTACTATTGCATTTATTAAAAAAGACCAAAAATTGCTCTACTAAGTATTTTCTTTATTTAGTTGTTTTACAAATGTTATCAGTTTTGACCTTTGAAAAAAAGCAAGTCTTCCCTTTTCTCTCAACTTTTTGAAAAAAATCTTTGATCTTCACTGGCGAACTGACTATCTATGAAAAAGAAATTGGTTTGTAATGTCCTTGAAATTCTCTGCTTATTTTCCTGATCAGTTTTTGAAGTATCAGAAAATCTTGTTCAGAATATTTCCCATGAATTCTATCTTCATTATAAGAAGCATTTTTAATTCCACCTTCTCGTATTTTATGTTAATTATTTTGCAATGAAGCCAAAGTGGCACTGTTGCATTAACTTTTTGTGTTCTATGGCTCAAGTTTTGAAGAAGGAACAAGGATATTTAAAAGATCTTTATTAAAATTGTTTCCCATAATTTATAGGGCATTTTTAATTTGGCATATTAAATTTTCCAATTAGTTGGTCCCCGACTCTGAATTTTGAAACTTGCCAGATATTTGTTTGTTGAAATGTAGCTCTACCAATGCCAAGCTTCACGATGTTTCCCCAGCAGTAACTTCAATGTTTGACTGTGCTCAGCTTTTACTTCGACTTCAAGACAAGTAGATCCCTAGTTACTGCCCCTCTCACAATGCTCTACCTACTAACCTTATTTCTTGTCCACTGCTCCAAGCTTTTAAAATTTTTTATGTGTGTAACTCAAGTCTAAAATACTGCATGGAAAAAAATTGTGGTAAATTGTGTTTCACCATAAACTTTCCATCCGGACATTCATAGACAGTCACAACATTTTAAAGAAATTAATACCATTACTGTGGAGTACTGTAACCTTGTTCAAATATTGGGTTGCTTCCCTTTAGCTGTCATCACAAAAATCAGAATCTGGTTTATTATTTTTTTTCTTCTTTTAAACTGATGTTATAAGCTCATAAGAAAAAGATATTTTGAGCATCATAGAACATCAGGGGATCTGGGACAGTTTAACCCATAAACAGTAGAAGGACCAAATACTTAAGTAAAAAGTTGGAGAAATTTAAAAAAAATAAATTCTTTCCAGTTTTAAATGAAACAAAATTTTAAGATGAAGACTATAATGACTAAATAGTCATAAAAAAATGATGATGTTTAGTCCAACTTTAATTAAAGCGCAAATATTTGATAAGTGTTTTCCTGTAATATAAAAAAAATATTTATAATCACGGGTAATAGTTAAATGACATCTTTTCTAACCAGCATAGGCAATTCTTGGAGCTTTGAAGTCCTGTATCTAAATTAATTACCTGTCAGGCTGAAATTAAAAAAAAATATCTTTGATAATTATAGCTAAACTGGCATTTAACTACACACCATGCAAAAATATGTCATCCATTTGGTCATCACAGTCTTGTCTAAGACATCTGCATGACATCAATTATTTGCATGGCCGTGGACAGCATTTAGTTTCATTTCAACGTACACAAAAGCAGTTAGAAGTCTTTTGTTTTTTTTTGTTTATGAAGAGTTACCACTCCAAAATCCTACATATAGTTGCTCCCCTTTATAGCAGGATAGTTCTGTTTGCTGCTAGCTATTGAAAAGTTTGTTCAGAAATTATTTTCATTTGCTGCTTTGTCTAATCTACTTGCAAGTTACTTGTTGTTACAATGTCTGGTAATTGTCTTGAGAGAATGGTGTCTTCAACAATTTTCATGACAAGTATTTCCTTCAGGTATTAATTACTAATTAGAAATAAATACTTTTTTAAAAGTATGGAAAGTGTGATTAAATTAGAAATAGAAGTAATCGGGTATGTAAGTAAAATCAATGATGGTCTCTTAAAAAAAGTTTACTGCATCAACATGTTTGCCATGCTGTAGTTTTGCTTCTTAAGAAATATTATTCAGCTTGCTTTATGTCTAAATGTTCTGAAATGCGCAAAATAAATTTATTTAGCCTCTTAATATTTTTTAAAATTTGTTTTGAAATGGTGATGGATTTTACTTTAATACACTTTAGATTTGATAATAAGTTATCTTTTATTTTAAAGATTGATTTTAAATTTTATACATTAAGTTGCTATTTGTTAATTGCTCATTACAGATATATATATATATATATATATATAAATAGTATTAAAGCATGCAAGACACAGTATTCTAAAAATCTAACTTTGATTATTAATTTGATTTCTTTTTAAAGATTTTGTTTAGTTTTTGTTTAATTTGAATACAATTTAAAAAAAAAAAAAGACTATTTTAAAAGATTGAGATAACTCTAAATAATTAAAATTAATTTTGTGTATTAATTTCAATATTTTCTTTTTCTTGTGGTAATGTAACTTTAATGTTTTCTTACTCATAACAAAGGTAAGTAACTGTTGAATATACTACCATTAACCATTTGAACATCACTCTAGATTCATGGATTGCCCCTATTTAATCATAACAGTTTTCATTATTACTTTAACAGCAAATACAAACTCATTCAAATTTATGTAAATCATTAATTCAAAATTAACTTTCATTATTAATATATATTTTTATCATAAGTATGAATATATAATAATAAAAAGTTTCAGTAAGTAACTAACAGCAACTTAGTTAAAAGCCTACTCTACTAAATCAACTTTATAACAGTTTTCATACATTTTATACCACCTTCATACTTTTAAGAAAAATTTAAGAGATACCTTCTAAATGTACAGACATACAAACAACTGCTTTTTTAATCAATTTTTTAATGTGTTAAATCTATTCCTCTTTCTAATTAAAATCATAATACAATGTGATGTGTTAAAATCTGCCCACAAAGGACTTATACTGTAGAATGGGTATTCAATCAAATTGATAATCAACACAATATGCATGTCATTTTAAATATCTGAAAAAATTTGAATTAGCTATAAAATAAGTGGTGATAAAAAAATGTATCACTCATCTATTTAAAAAAATTAAATGTGAAGTAACTAAATTTAGTGGCGTGATTACAATTTCAACATCTTTCATTGTTATTTCACCATGAGAAGCCACCAAATAGTAAAGGGTTATTTGAAATTATTTATCTAAAAATTAATTTATTTGAAAAAAACATTTCTTTTAAATTAAAAAAAAGATGTTTCTAATTTCTACAGTTTTCTAATGATAATAAACTTTATGGAGAAAACAACCAGTGTATTTTTGATTAAAAAATGTAACTTTATTGATCAGGTTCTGCAGGGGTTGGGTCTGGCGCCATCGTTGGAATCATTGTTGGTATTTTAATCTTCGTCCTCCTCATTGTGGTGATTGTGGTGTTCATATGGAAGAAAAAACCAGAACTCCTTCACAGACTGAGTCAGAACATCGGAACTGGCAGGGAAGAGGAGAGGGGCAAGGGTGAGGATGGAAAGTGAGTAATTCTTTCAAACATAAGTTGAATGAGTGGGGATGGGGAGTGATTCTTTTTAATTTAATAGAATATATTAATATTTTTTATTGACCTAAACATGGATGCTAGGACTATAATGTCAATATAAGATAACATCTAAATATTACTAAGACTTGAATTGATAGCCCACATTATTTAACTACTTTGGTGGCTTAAACATTTATGAACTTTTAATCCAGGAAAATATCAAAGATGGGTGTTAATTAATACTAATATGCTCTCTGTCATCATTATATTTTAACTAGAAAAAATGGGGACTTATCTCTTCAATAACATTGGGAAAATTTAAGTTACCTATTATTGTTTTTTTTTATTCTGAAGACATTTTAAAAAAAATTAATTATTATTTTTTTTTTCAGAGACCCAGCTGAAGAAGAGAAGCTGATCAAAAACGAGTGAGTTCAATTGTGATGTGCTCACCCATGATTGTTTACAACAGCTTGGTTGTCTGTCATTTCATTGATTCTTTCCCTGGTTCATCAATCATTCTCTGAACACCTTGTGAATAACCACATCTCTGCTTTTCATTCAGCACCGCTTCTAATCTAATACCGGTCTGTTGATGTTGTTTTGCTCAAGGTGTGTCCTGTTTACACTTTGTATATCTTGACCAGTTGGATTTTGCCTGATTTTCCCATAGATAGTTGTTGATAATTCTCTTGGGTCAATATACAACACAGATGTCTGTTGAACTTTAAAAATTATGCGGGGTGTTGCCTATAGTAGGGGAATTACATTAACACAATATCTCTTCATATACTGAGGTCATAGATGCTGAACTTGCTTCATCTCCACTAAGAACTATTTAGTCTTAAAAAAAAAAATTTTGTGTGTGTATTGTTTTACCAAAGTGGTAAGATGTAAAATGGTTGAATGAATACAATATTCTTCTATAAGGATATTTTCCTTTAGTTAAAAGCTTTTCTCTGACCCCAACAGTTCCATTCATGTTTAAGTTAAAAAAAAACAACAAAAAAAACCAATATGGAATTCCTTGAACGCATGAACTACATTTATAAAATTTATAAAAAATAACTTAATATCAACTGTCTCTATCAACCAACTCAACAATTTCTACCAATATTGCTAACTCCCTCAACTAAAAGTGAGCTACTCTACAGACCAAAATCTCCCCATAATCTGTCTGTGGCATAACCTGATACATGCACCTGATTGGTTGATACTGCTGACCAATGAGCACCTGACCTACTTTACATCATTGCATGAGTACAGGGGGGGTGGGTTGATTTACCATTGGCCTAATGTTGATTTTGAAATGTATTCTCTACAGCACGGTGAAGGTAGAAAATGAGACAGAAGAGGGGTGGGGGAATTGATTTACCATTGGTCTAATGCAGGGGTCTCCAAACTTTTCAGTCCGAGGGCCGCATTAACTATCAATTTTCAGTTCGGGGGCCACTTTCTTCCAGGCATGTCTTTGATTTTTCTGGGCAAAGTTCCTCAGCCATCACCAACAAACGATTTTTCCTTGGACAAAAAGATCTCCGCGGGCCGGATGAGAGGTCTTCGAGGGCCGCATCTGGCCCGCGGGCCGTAGTTTGGAGACCCCTGGTCTAATGAATGTGTTGAAATGTATTCCCTACAGCATGGTGAAGGTAGAAAATGAGACAGAAGAGGGCAATTGATTTACCATTGGCCTAATGAAATGTATTCTCTACAGCACGGTGAAGGTAGAAAATGAGACAGAAGAGGGCAAGAACGAGGCTGTAGAGGAGCACCCGGAGGAGTTTGAGCCAGACAGCAAGCCAGAGCAGCCCACAACACCTGAGGCTCCAAAGTCTGTGGAGAAGGTAAGCTGGTCAGTTACTGGATCACCTAATTAGGTGCTGGCTCACCTAATTAGTTGCTGGCTCTCCTGAATGGTAGCTGGTCAGTTACTGGATCACCTAATTAGGTGCTGGCTCACCTAATTAGTTGCTGGCTCTCCTGAATGGTAGCTGGTCAGTTACTGGATCACCTAATTAGTTGCTGGCTCTCCTGATAATTTCTGGCTCTCCTGAATGGTAGCTGGTCAGTTACTGGATCACCTAATTAGTTGCTGGCTCAACTAATTAGTTGCTGGCTCTCCTGAATGGTAGCTGGTCAGTTACTGGCTCACCTAAATGCTAATTGGTCAGTTACTGTCTCCTGAATGGTAGCTGGTCAGTTAATGGCTCACCTAATTAGTTGCTGGCTCTCCTAATTAGTTGCTGGCTCTCCTAATTAGTTGCTGGCTCTCCTGATAATTTCTGGCTCTCCTGAATGGTAGCTGGTCAGTTAATGGCTCACCTAATTAGTTGCTGGCTCTCCTAATTAGTTGCTGGCTCTCCTAATTAGTTGCTGGCTCTCCTGATAATTTCTGGCTCTCCTGAATGTTAGCTGGTCAGTTACTGGCTCACCTAATTAGGTGCTGGCTCTCCTGATAATTTGCTGGCTCTCCTGAATGGTAGCTGGTCAGTTACTGGCTCACCTAAATGCTAATTGGTCAGTTACTGTCTCCTGAATGGTAGCTGGTCAGTTAATGGCTCACCTAATTAGTTGCTGGCTCAACTAATTAGTTGCTGGCTCTCCTGAATGGTAGCTGGTCAGTTGCTGGCTCACCTAATTAGTTACTGGCTCTCCTGATAATTTCTGGCTCTCCTGAATGGTAGCTGGTCAGTTACTGGCTCACCTAATTAGGTGCTGGCTCTCCTGAATGGTAGCTGGTCAGTTACTGGCTCACCTAATTAGGTGCTGGCTCTCCTGAATGGTAGCTGGTCAGTTACTGGCTCACCTAATTAGGTGCTGGCTCACCTAATTAGTTACTGGTTCACCTAATTAGTTACTGGCTCTCTTGATAATTTCTGGCTCTCCTGAATGGTAGCTGGTCAGTTACTGGCTCACCTAATTAGTTGCTGGCTCACCTAATTAGTTACTGGTTCACCTAATTAGTTACTGGCTCACCTAATTAGGTGCTGGCTCTCCTGAATGGTAGCTGGTCAGTTACTGGCTCACCTAATTAGTTACTGGCTCTCCTGATAATTTCTGGCTCTCCTGAATGGTAGCTGGTCAGTTACTGGTTCACCTAATTAGTTGCTGGCTCTCCTGAATGGTAGCTGGTCAGTTACTGGCTCACCTAATTAGTTACTGGCTCTCCTGATAATTTCTGGCTCTCCTGAATGGTAGCTGGTCAGTTACTGGCTCACCTAATTAGTTACTGGCTCTCCTGATAATTTCTGGCTCTCCTGAATGGTAGCTGGTCAGTTACTGGCTCACCTAAATGCTAATTGGTCAGTTACTGTCTCCTGAATGGTAGCTGGTCAGTTAATGGCTCACCTAATTAGTTGCTGGCTCTCCTAATTAGTTGCTGGCTCTCCTAATTAGTTGCTGGCTCTCCTGATAATTTCTGGCTCTCCTGAATGGTAGCTGGTCAGTTAATGGCTCACCTAATTAGTTGCTGGCTCTCCTAATTAGTTGCTGGCTCTCCTAATTAGTTGCTGGCTCTCCTGATAATTTCTGGCTCTCCTGAATGTTAGCTGGTCAGTTACTGGCTCACCTAATTAGGTGCTGGCTCTCCTGATAATTTGCTGGCTCTCCTGAATGGTAGCTGGTCAGTTACTGGCTCACCTAAATGCTAATTGGTCAGTTACTGTCTCCTGAATGGTAGCTGGTCAGTTAATGGCTCACCTAATTAGTTGCTGGCTCAACTAATTAGTTGCTGGCTCTCCTGAATGGTAGCTGGTCAGTTGCTGGCTCACCTAATTAGTTACTGGCTCTCCTGATAATTTCTGGCTCTCCTGAATGGTAGCTGGTCAGTTACTGGCTCACCTAATTAGGTGCTGGCTCTCCTGAATGGTAGCTGGTCAGTTACTGGCTCACCTAATTAGGTGCTGGCTCTCCTGAATGGTAGCTGGTCAGTTACTGGCTCACCTAATTAGGTGCTGGCTCACCTAATTAGTTACTGGTTCACCTAATTAGTTACTGGCTCTCTTGATAATTTCTGGCTCTCCTGAATGGTAGCTGGTCAGTTACTGGCTCACCTAATTAGTTACTGGTTCACCTAATTAGTTACTGGCTCACCTAATTAGGTGCTGGCTCTCCTGAATGGTAGCTGGTCAGTTACTGGCTCACCTAATTAGTTACTGGCTCTCCTGATAATTTCTGGCTCTCCTGAATGGTAGCTGGTCAGTTACTGGTTCACCTAATTAGTTGCTGGCTCTCCTGAATGGTAGCTGGTCAGTTACTGGCTCACCTAATTAGTTACTGGCTCTCCTGATAATTTCTGGCTCTCCTGAATGGTAGCTGGTCAGTTACTGGCTCACCTAATTAGTTACTGGCTCTCCTGATAATTTCTGGCTCTCCTGAATGGTAGCTGGTCAGTTACTGGCTCACCTAATTAGGTGATGGCTCTCCTGAATGGTAGCTGGTCAGTTACTGGCTCACCTAATTAGGTGCTGGCTCTCCTGAATGTTAGCTGGTCAGTTACTGGTTCACCTAATTAGTTACTGGCTCTCCTGATAATTTCTGGCTCTCCTGAATGGTAGCTGGTCAGTTACTGGCTCACCTAATTAGGTGCTGGCTCTCCTGAATGTTAGCTGGTAATATACTATTTCTACTAAAATCATAAATCTTGTTATTTTTTGCTCATGTCTGTCAATTTTTTAAACACTATCTTGGATTAATGGTCTGTTTTCTTTTAATCTTCCCAATAAACTGGACAACTTAACATAGATTAAAATTAACATCAGTATAATTAACAGTTTTGCTCTACTAAATCAAACATAATACTATTTTAAATAAACTGTAATTTTTAAAACTTTCAGACTGAAGAGCTGACCACGCCTGCTGCCACCACAGAGATCAAGATAACACCCGAGACACCAGAGAAGCCGCCAGAGAATCCAACAGCTTAAATTTAAAATATAAACATTTCATTTTTTTAGTTTCCATCCAGTTTTCAGTATTTAAAAATACTGAGAGGACTTGTGTTCCTGTTGTTTTATTTACATTATTACTTTTATAACTGGTTCACTCTGATATTATAGGTTCAAGGTCAGTTGGTGGTATTTTTGTTTTGGTATTGACAAACTGAGATATACTTGTTAGACGGGTTCACTACTAGAAATTGTGATGGTTTAGATCAATTTTTGTTAGAGAACTTCACAAACAGACCTTGCGATGGTATAGACAGTATTGATTTTCTTTTTAATTAAAATAAATTTGCGAATGAACAATTTTTTTTATAGAAAAGCTGAGTGAAAAATTAAAACTTAAAGAAATTTTCTAAGCAGTAGTTTTTTCTTAATTTTTAAAGATGATAAAATGGTAAAATTGGTGCCTTTTTATTTCGGTATATTTTATTCTTGCCTTTGGGTAGACTGAAAACAATAATTGGGAAAACAATTGGTTTATTGTAGTCTCAGGTATATTCTTGTTCCTGGAATCTTTCAAAGATTTTTAAAAAATCCATTCCCATTACTTGAAGAGCTCAGGGCTAGCTTTCAGAAGAAAAAAAATTCATGGCATTTTTAAAAGGAGGAGGTGAAAATCAAGGGGGGAAAAAAATCAGATAATGAAGAAAAAACCTAAATTTATTGATTTTGATGTAATATTTTTAGCTATTGATTTAGTTGTCTGCTTCATCACCTAGACATTTGAGTAATCTCACATCTTGTGTCAGTCTTTTAATTTAAAAGTGGCAGTTATTTTGAAAATATTTTTTCTAATTATGAAATAATAATGGTATAGAACTGTATTTATCAAAATTAATGTTTTCAGTAAAACTACTTGATAGTGATATAAACATGAATTTACTGGGCCCAATTATTATAAGTGTGTTATTTATAGGAAAATAATCTTTTTTTTTCCACTGAAAATAATAAAAAAGCAATAGGATACAAAAAATGGAAGATTAAACAAAAAAAGTATTTGATCCTGTTCTTGTGGGTTCAATTACAAAATGATGATATGGTTCTATTTTATCCTAATTTCATGTAGCAATGAATACAGTGAATGTGTTCCTTCAGTATTTTCTTGGTATACTCTCTTGATGTTACATAGACAGGCTTTTGTTGAGTGCTTGAGTATTTTTGACTGTTTTACACATGCGCTGGTGTCTATCTCATTCATTTGAATGTGTTTTCTAGGTGGAGCTGTTGTTATTAATTATTTATGTACTGGTGTGTGATCTACGTCATGCAAGTCTTAGCCATAAAAAAAACCTTGTTATAAAAATGATTAAATGTCTTGCAAGAGTTCCTATAAGCAGATTTTTACAAATCTGAAACTTTTATGAAGTAGGTTACTGATCCATTTTTAAATTTAAGAAAGTAGTTTGTTGATCAAATTTTGTAGAAATCTCTTACATCATACGTATTAATATATTAAGTTACAGTTCATAATTCAATTTTTATTCAGAACTGTATAAATTAGGTTACTTTTATAGTTGTTTTTTTCAGTATCATTTACTTCTTGATTAGCTGCTAACATTATACACCTAACCCATGCTAAAGGCAGCAGAAGTTCAAAGAAAAATTCCACACATGGTTCACTAGAGTCCTTTATGTGGGACTGGTTCTTATAAAGCTGTTAGTTGGGACTGGTCTGTTGCTAGAGATGGTTTTTCATCACGTCTTGTCTTACAATCATGTTATCACCATCATGTCTTGGACTAGTCTTGGAGCAATCTTGTTTGCTGGAATATCTGTTTGTATTAGATGGACACGGATTTCCTTTGTTGAATATGAAATCCAAACTAAGTAATTTCCATTTTTTTTAAATTTAGTTTTTAATTAAATGATTTTTTAAAGGATTAATGTCACAAAGTTTAGGATATTTATTTTTAAGAAGTTGCCAGATTTCTCCCTTTTTACATTTCATTTTCAATATTTTTAAAAGAATCTCAAGTATTTAAAAAAAAAACCATTTGCGTATTTAATTTGCATGACACAGTGGTTACAGTTTTTAAAATTATGTTTGTGTTTGGATATTAAATACAATCAATTTACAATTTTAATAAAATATGTTATTTATGTAACAATCACTGGTACTTACTTGAGGTTAGAACAAAAAAAATATGGTTGAGGTTTTTAACATTAAAAGTATTATTTTACCATGACATCATTATTTTAGCTATTTTGTTTATCAAGCATATATATACAATATGTTAAATCTCAAGGGAACAATATTTTCCTGTATATTCTTCAAGGTCTTAACAATTCAATTCATGGCTTAATTTAGCTCAATTTATTATGTTAAAATAATATTATAATGGAAATTATATAACAATAAGTTTAATAAACTTAATTTTCCATGACATAATTACAAATTACAGTCTAAATTGCCCTAGCATGTTTTTTATAGCAGCCAAATTTTGGTACCTAATTACTTAATATTATTACAGGGTTTGAGTGTTCATGGTTTGTTATTCTAGTCAGCAGAGTATGGCATCCAGATGAGTTCTCTAGTTATTATAAAATATTTCCCACATTTTCTAGACTGGTTCATCTAAAAACATTCCAAACTGTTGTAAAAATAATTTGCCTGCCAAGGTTTATTTAACAAGATTTGAAGTAATAGAGTTTTACAACCAGCTCAAATATCATTGGAGTTGCTGTAATTAGTGGGTAAATAATATTTTCCTAGTCAATTAATTGTTCAGTATTTCTAATAGACTTTAATGTTAGTTCTTATAATTATAATGCCTGAATAAAATTAATAATTAATCATTGGATAAATTTCATAATTTAAAAAAAAAAACCATACTGGGTATTGAAAGAGTCAATTGGTTTTATTTTTTATTAAGGTTTTATATGACAATCTTTTTTACACATATTTTTACTGTACTTTCATTAACAAAAGTATACAGTTTTTATGACAGTATACTTTTTTTAAAAAATGGATTATGTCAAAATTATGCATTTTTAAATTAACCCTATATTCTCTGTAAGTGGTATATTTTATATTTTTGCTTTCATTACCACTGATTTACTGTAAATGTTTTTTTTTATCAAATTGTTTCTTTTAGCTCTTGGTTCTGTCAAAAAAAAAACAACAGCAAACATATAGGCCTCCAGCAAATTCACATTAATTTAGAGAAGATTTTATGCAAGTCTGTATTTTGATTAGTCAAAAAATGGTTAAACTACTTAACTCCTCCATCAAGAATGGTTACAATTTTATATTAAATCTTAATGTTGAGGCCCGATATTCCTTTATTGGCGATAAACACAAACTGAAATTAAACATAAGGTGCAGTAACATGCCAACATGGTATTCAATGTTTCCTAGTTGAAAAAAAATATTCTGTTCTTCTTTTGTAAATAAGTTTAGTTGAGTGCACCTGTGCTTGTTGTAAGTGAAACATTGTAGATCAGATTGAATGCTTGCCATGCACATCAGCTTGAATAACTGTCAGTTGCTTGTCATACTTCATCTGCCTTGCTTGAGATGCTGGATAACAGAGACTTTGGTTATGCTTGTTATTATTAGTTTGGAACACATAGACAGCAGCAAATGAAAAGCTGTTCCTGATTGGCTGTCTATTTCATTGTTTTAGTTCAATGTTTTTTTCACCACAAAAAAAAATATTTCTCAATGAGTAGTAAGCCAACCTGCATTGTCCCTGTGAATAATTTAATCCAGTTTTTTTTTCAAACATAATGTATGCAGTTTTTCTTCTTCTTCTTGTTTGTACTGTTTTAAGTGTGTGCTTTTAATACCTCTGGCAGCCTAATTAGAAATATTCATTGTGTGGGCCAACAGAGAAATTGAACTGATGACATTCATGCCCATATGTCTCTGTGTCCAGATCAAGTCTAGTAATTCACTGCTAACCAATTTTTATTTTGCTTCTTTGTAGTTTAGTCATACTCATTCAATGCTGGTTAAAGTTTTTTTTTTTTTTTTTGAAAACCATTTTCTATGCTGTTATTGCTCATCTTTGATAATGTCCACTAATTGTGACACATTTGCTGCGTACCCATTATGACATTATTTTTATTGAATTTTTTTACATTTTCCCCAGCTCCACTATTTTTCAACCATCAATTTTAATATTTTGAAAATTAATTGTTTTTATTGTATATTATTGTTGATTGGGCTGAAAAATTGGATATTACAATACCGTGCAATTTATATCTCAACATTATGTTTTTAAAGGCATGCATTAGGGGAATAAAATGTAAAGAATATTTACACATTTTTACAATCATATTTCCTGTATCTGCTCTAGAAATATGAGATTCAAAATCTTACAATCTTTTTTTTATATTGCTTCCTGTTAAACAAAATATATATTAAGTTAGCTACAATACTACATTATATATATACCCTTATATATTTTTCTGAACACAACTGAGGTATATCCAGAATGTTAAACTTTGTTTAGCACAGAAAAATAAAATTTACAAATTTTATCAGTCAGCTAAAAAGTAACTTTTTAATAGCTTACAAAACAAGATGTAAATATTGATAGCAAACCACTATTTGATTTGATTTTGGATAGGTTCATTATAAGCAGTGAGTTAAATTACAGCCTTTTAAATGTCATAGTCTTATCAAACTGAATACAAGTAGCTAAATCATTATCATTTTAAAAAAAAATTACTATCTTCATTAAGGTCATGCTTTTGATGTCTATTCCACAAGCTGGTGTTTTTTCATAATGTATATGGTACTAACTTCCCTTTACTGTGACCTACTTTCATTATGGCCTGGCAACAATTTCAAATTTCTAACATTTGTTTTCACTGCTTACATCAAGACATTTTGTTCTTTAAGTTTTTCCTAAAATATTAATGT